AGAATAACATAGGAGGTGGTTCACCTCCACTGATCAGATTACTTAAAAAAATTTTCTTCACAGCAAACAATGTTGAATAAAAACGTTAAAAAAATATTTAAAAAACTTATCAACTTTTAATTTTTGAAAACTGGCTTTGTTGACACAATTTTAGTCGCAAATTTAATTACGTAGCTTTTTGAATAGCTCATATTACTCTATCGTGAAACCGATATTTTTTAAAATGAACAGTTAAAAGTACAAATGGTAAAAATTTTCCTGATTTATTTCTTTAATTGATTGTGATTAGGTGAAACACATTGTTAAACATTAGTTGTTTTAGTTAGCACATCTAACTTGTGCTACAAGTTTTGTCGCCATTAGTAAGGAATTTATAGATTTTCACTTCAGCTGAAAACAACAAGATTCTCAGTGTAAATGTTCGTTCTACCCAAGATATAAAGACGAATGGTAACACTGCCTCCACCTATAATCAAACATCAGTTTGAATCCAATTCGTGCTTCTAACAACTTCTTCAAATCGCACCACCTTTATTCGAGAACGAGCATAGAAATATGTAGTTTACAAATTTAAAATTTCGGCAAGGAAATTAATAATCGCAAGAAAATTATAGTGAGCTATCTGTGACAATTGAGCACATCAAGGCTTAAGCAGTGAAACTTCTTTTGTTGACTGACTTTCCCGCCGATTTTAGAAAAATTTGTTTGCAACAAATTCGTCACAAATTCCCTGTTCTAGTATTTTTTGCCCAATAACCATGCAATATAATAAAACGAGACAATAAACAATCAACCGAAGTGACAGTCCTTTTGCACTACGAGTCCATCTGGTGGTAATACTTGGAAGATGATATACTTCCTAGTTAAAAACTCGCATATGTCCTGATTTCTGTCTAATTAAACTTTAAAATCCATGGTTAGAAAAGTTTCGCCCCAGTATCAAGCACGATGTGTAGCTCTCCACGAAAATATTCTCGGGAATATAAAAATAGCGTCATGCGCGAATGGATGATATTCATAAAAATGAGGATTTCTTTATAAGCAAACGCTTGCGAGTACGAGTTTAACTGAGCAGTAAAAGGTGCAAATAAAGCAAATGCCTATGTTAATATTCGTAATGAAATACTTATGTTAAATATTTACCTAAACTTCACAAAATAAATCATAAAGCAGAAGAAAAATTATAACGTAAATATAAACATTTTTGAGGTCTATTAATACCAGTTCGGACTTCGGCACCAGTGAAACTTTGCCTTTTAATGTTATGAATTATGATTAAACAGAGATAGAAGAAAAGAGGCAAAAAATACCATTAGCAACATTAGTAGTTGGTCAAATAGCAGTCTATTTCAATAACGTAAAGGAAACTTTTATAAATGTGAAAACGATATTCATTTACTTGTCAGATAACTAACTTTCGCTCGAGTGTGTATTAATAAAATATTGTTTACGTAAAAGTTTTATGAATATCGGAATATCTGATTCTAGTTATTTCCCAGGTTAAGACTAAACATTTTTGGCATTTGATGTTTACTTCTGAGACAGTCGAACACAATATTGCAAAACATCATTTCTTACTTCATTCCACGCAAATAAGTTTAAGATCTCAAGTAGAAGCGAGGGCTGGTAATCTAGCATTTAATCAATCGTATCTCACGATCGTAGATTCAATATTGTCAAACATGCTGTTGGCGATATGTTTAAATTAAATAGGAGCCTGCAGCTACAGGAGCAGCTCGTAAGAAAATTGTTCATTCATTCGTTTGTTGGAATGCATTCTTGCTATTCGTTAATATTACGTATACTGACTGCCGACAGCGCGAACAGCAGTGAAACCGAATACAATATGAAAATTTAAATATTAGATATTCAATACGCACCACCGTTTAGCATATTTCAGGAGCTTCGACTTGTCACCTTACAAATGCTGAAACTTCATCAGATCGTTGTACTAGCTTTGTTAAATAAAAAAGAACATAGGAATATATATTTTCGGTGCTAAATATTAATTAATTTTATAAGACTTCTGCTAACTAGGTGAAATCACTTATTTTCGTAGAGTCTCTAAGTATTCTACTAAGTAAATACGTGCAACATAGTCAATAGTATTTACGTAATAATGAACACATTTTATTTTCAATATATTTGGAAACGTTAGACAAAATCACACTGTTAGGATTATACAAAAAAATAAGACAACGTGATATCTTGGCAAATGAAATCCCTGCCTTGTGTTACATATTTATTATTAGCTATATTAAATTGCTACGCTCGTATTTCGTTTTCAAAATAACAGCCATGTTATTTTTATATGTTCATCTACTCAGTAAGGATTCCAAATTTCTGGTGTAGATAGCGTCGTAAATAGCGTAATAATTTTATATTATTATAAATGACTATATCTGAAATCATACTAAGCACTTTCTTAGAGTGAAAAACAGATTTTATATCAGTGACCAAGAGTGGTATGGAATCAACGACTGTCCATTATAATAAAATTAATCAGAGCAATCGTCCGTGATAGTCGATTATTGGAAAAATCAAATTAAAGACGGAGTGTTGCTGTTGTTACTTCAGACCCAATTTCGATTGTTAGGGTTTATCAGCAAAAATGTACTGTTTAAGGAAAGTTACAAACAATAATGTTCGCACTCTGCTTTCTATGTAATAGTGACCATAAAACATTTGCATTAAACTGAAATTATGTAGTCCAATATTCAGTGAATATGAAATACTTAATATGCCTAGGGTATGAATAATACTAATTTCGGCAAAATATATATAGATACGAGTATATGTTTATGCGTGTATTGTATTTGCATAGAAATCATGCGTAAACTCAATTAATTAGTAATTTATGAACGAATGAGTGCTCTAAACAATTTTGAGTGTTCAAGAGGGGAGTATTCTAGATTATTCCAGCTAATAAAATAAATATTTTAATAAATGGTCCCTTGGCATGAGCAAACAAAACAATGTTAAAAATTAGGTTTTGGGGATTTACAATAAAAGGTATCCAAAATTATCTAATTATTTTTATTTCTCGTGATATTTTTCTCAATAGTCTAAATTTATTTGTTCTTTGTTTATTTTGACTAATTGTAACGAATAAGTATTTAATATCCATTAAATTTCTTCATGTTTCAAGAGTGACGCTAAACGAAAATTGAAAATTTCCGTTTTGGTCGTGTGTCCGTTTCTCCGCATTACACATATTGATAAAAGTAAAAAATATTCTTCATACTGCTATTTCCGAATTCGAGACTTAATTACGATGTACAGAGAACGCCTCTGAAACAGCATACTACTTTTGCGAAATTAACTAGACATTTGAACTTATAGAGAAAAAACTCTGTATTTAACAACAGCTGGATTCGAAATTTTATTTCGCGGACTCTCCTGTTACTCTGATCAGTTGCAAAACGTTTTATTTACTTTGTTATTTGCTTTGAAAAGTTAGATCCATACACAAAACTCGGTAAAATTTTAATGTGTACAATATAAAACTCTGCCAAGCTATCACATTTGTCACATAATCATCATAAGTACCTACAGAGTAGTTGCTCATAAGTTTTTAACAGCGATAATAAACACAACATTATTTATGGAAAAAACGAACTTTTTAACAAACTACATATAAAAGAAAGCTATATTTGAGACATCTCGCGTAAGTTTATCCCGCATTGAAGGAACTGTGAAATCCCTTGTAAGAAAAAGTGAACTGACAGACTGAAGCGCGCCACCACTTAAAGTTATCGAAAACTTAACTATTACGACAACTTTATAAGGTGCACAATCTAGATTTTTACGTTTCACCCAGAAAAATTTCATAATGTAATTAGAGTTAATAGAAATTTTAAATCTAGTTCAACATCTTAAAATATAGAAAATTACTCGTCTACAGTACTACATCACCTAGTCTCAAAAGCGTGCTAGTCTTACGTATAAGACTGAAAATGCAAATATATTTAAAACAAGAGGAAGCTGAGTGAATGAACTCTCAGTTTAATACATTTCAAGGCTTGTAATAATTATAAAAACAAATATTTTAATTAGAAATTAAATTTTCTACAACGTCGATGTAGGTTTTTTCGCACGACTAGAAAAATGATAAAAAAATGTCGAAATTTACACTACTTCCACTTCCCTAGCGATATAAACCATAATATGGTATGCATTTTAGTCTCGAAAAAGTTTGCTTTTTCTTGAACAAAACAAAAATGAATAATTGTGTGGTGACTGTGGTGAAAATGATGCTTCTGTAATATTATGAAATTTTTCGAGAAAGAAAATAAAATTCAAGTTGGTCAGTTCCAGGCGCGTTTTTAATTGTACAAAGCAAACACACGCAGATTACCTTCATTTGTAAAAAGGCGAAGTGAGCGTTATATTTAAACAGGAATTAAAAATAAAATTTTGCTTTCAATTTCAAAGAGAAACAAAAGATAATCTGCATGACAACACATGTACATCTCAACAAAAATCATGAAAATAAAATATGAAGCATTATTAAAGCAATATTAAGATGAGAAAGAATGCATTATCTTATTCTTCTGCAATCCTGTGTGTTCACACTACATCATTTAACATTATTCTCCCACCCAGATGATGGGGCTGAAATAAAAATGATTTATTTCCTGAGGAACATTTCATAAAAGAGGAATTTCAGCAATTCCCGCATCTAAAAAATATCTTCACTTTAATATCTTTTAAAATTAACCCCCGTTTAAAGACTGCGTCTCAGAATTTTTCTGTTAATTGATTACATTACCTTGGTGCTTCTTGCAATTTAGAACGGATAATAGAGTGCATTATCTGAAAAGGGACACCCATTTTCAAACATGTTGGACTCGCCCAAGATTAAAAATATCACCGATCGGCGATCGAATGGCAGGTCTTGACATTGATGCCGATAAATTATTCAAGAGAATCCGGATTATTGCCTCAGTATCCAGCAACAAATAGGCGCAATAAAAAAGTGAAGTTGCGTAAGTACTTACCAAAAGCAGAAATCCACCGAAGGCCAAACAGAACACTAGAGGACCGGCCAAATCGGTGTCCTGTAAAGCTGCCACTTCAGGAGTGTGAAAAGGATTCAGCACGGTGAGAGTCTGCAAACAGAAAGAGATCTACAATACACAAGAAGAGATCTGTAGCGATGCTATTCGGGTGAAGAGAGTTGCTATAATGGGGGTAAGTCTAAAAACACTACCCTCCAAAAGAGGGCGCCTGAAAAAAAATCAATATTCCATGTTAAAATGGAATAAGGGTACATGACTATTAATCAAAGAATAGCAATTAACTTGCTTGACACTAATCAACCGTCCGATTATTAAAATTGATTTAATGCCACATTTTGTGCTTTCATGCCACGCTATTATCCATAAAGGCTTGACTCGCAAACAAGTTTAGGTCATACTTAGGCATAACTAGTTCACGAAATCGATTTCTAAACGCTAGCAAAGTTGAATTTATTGCCTACGAATTATCAAGAAAGGTGATAAGGGTTTTAGAAAATAACTCTTAAGGGTAGGTATGTAATAGGGTACTTTAAGCGTTAGCAATGATAATTTAATAAATTACAGTAAAACTTTCACATATCGAACTTTATGTCAAGAAATTTTCGACAGAAGTTTGATAAACCATTCCTAGGTATAAATTGTATTTACAAAAAATAGATAAAGCAATTCACAAGTTTCCTATAAACTTATATTTTTGTGATTAAATAGTTACAAATTAAAAAAAAAAGCAACGAATATATAAATATTTGAATCAATCGATACAACGCCTGCGCAAATCAAACGATGTGTTTCATTTCGGTAATGCATTTAAAAAAATTTAATGGGCCATGTTTAGCAAAAACTAATTTCCAAATTTCGTGCAAAATCAAAACAGTTCTAAAATGATTGTAAGTCTGAAGACGATAATCTTCTTATTTCAGATTCGATAGGCTTGTTTTTTTTAGGAAAAAACCACAAGTAAAAAATTCAACCAAGCGTTATTCACCGCGATATTGGGAACCTCTATTTATAGACGTAGAATTACGACCATTGACTTGGCTATTTTTATTTTGTTTGAGATATCAGAAAGTTGTTTCATGTGGTGTTAAATAATTTTAATTTTTTAATAATTCAAACCGAAGCGATCACACCTTGGAAAACTTAGCTTCGCCTTCACTTACGTTGTAGGTAAATCTCCAGACTGACGGAGATTCTTACTTTCGTATTAAGAGCGATGGTTGATACAGAAAGAATCGTACTTTCATTGTTCATCCGTCTTTATTTTATCGATTGTGTTCGAATTAGCGTTGCTGCACACTGATTTGCAGCGAAAATTTGTTCGTATTTCTACATCGATGAGGTTTTTAAATATAACTTAAAAAATAATTTCATCCGTATTATTTCAGTGACCACAAAGGACGTATATTAAATATTTAAATTTGTAGTAAGTACATGTATTAACTTTAACCTTTTATCCTCCATTCGGTATATCGAACACGTATCTTACAAAAAAGTAGAATTCTACGCTACATTTAATACGAAAACATGATTTATACTTTTATCTTTTCTTCAAACATGACGCGATAATTCAAATATCCACATATATTTAATAATTAATTATGGCCATGGTTGAAAAAAATTATAAAATATACGTTCATTTAAAACGTCATCGTTACTTTAACAAAAGTAGCCGAATAAATATTAACAATTCAAGCAGGTGAACAGTAAAACCCTAATTTATTTATCAGTATCACACATGGTCTGCTAGCTGCAACGGCATTAGCGGGCAATATTTATTATTTTATATTTGAAAATTAGTTTAAATATATAAATTCTTGTTTTCGCATTTATATTATAATTAAAATAATCCATTACGTATAACAATGCATACGAGCAATTACTTTAATCTATAAAATAAACAGCGCGCGTGTTTGTATAAATCCATACCACATCCGGTGTGAACAAACTCGTTTTGGCAAATTTTAGTTGGAGTTGCGAGAATTTTGAATGAGGTGACAAAATAAAAATGTAATGTGGTGACTTATCATAAGCAGTGTAGTCAAGTGTAATCATACAAATTCAGTTTTTTAGGAAACCTGGATGCCTAGGATAAAAATCAAGGCATATTCATAAACCACGAGTACAGGAATATGTTACTTTATAAAAATTTTGCGTCGATGGCATGCCTGTGCTAAAAGTTCGATTTAGCGGTAAGCGTTGACAAACTGCTGATACATAGTAATAAAATGTTCACATAGGCCAACAAATTTGGTGCAAAATTCCATAAAACTAAAAAACTACAATGTTGTCGTTAGGATGTGAATTTTATCCAGCAGGTGAGGGTTCTTTGAGTGCATAGAGGAATTTATTTTAGCTGTTGGGTACAAGCTTTTGCTGCCACGGTTATTAATGAAATGACAGCTAACAACGTATTTCATGCAAGCAAATAAACAGTAATTTAAAAATATTAAACCTTAGGATTTTTATGTTTATCAAGAACTAGGAATCTATTTAAAACCCTCATTTAAAAAAAAACGGTTTAACGTCTAACTTAGAATACTATTTAATTTACCAGATTAAATATTTTAGTAATCACAATATGTGTGCTTATTTCAACGATTAATTAATATGGTAATTTTTTCCCTGAAGCAAAATGTAAATAAAACACACATTGCAGGACAAAAAATATTCATGGAATTTATAGATTTCAATTAACCCGGCGTGCTGCCTATTAGCTCACACAACAAAAAGTAGGTCAACATTTTCGCATAATAAAAAACGTGGTTATTGTGGTTTGCGATATTTTTTAACCGTTAAAATAATTTTGTAGTGTTTTGCTTTTGTCTCATGAGATGGCGTGTGGTGCATTAAAAAGATCAAGTTTAAATGTCTTTAGATAATTCTGTCCTTTTTTAACTATACCTATCATTTTAACAACTACACTTTTTGTACTATATGTGTACAATAATAGTTTGGGGATTTTTTAACGTTTAAAATTACCATGGATGACTCATACTGCAGAATATTGCAGTGTAACGGACCAGCTTATAAGTTGATAATAAGCATTAAGCTGTACGGCAGCCCTAGTTTGAAAAGGGAACAAGTAACCATTTACATACTCGACATGCATCACGAAATATGAACCCAAATATCGGTTATGCATACACAGTAAAGTCTGGGAATTGAGTTTATCTGCTCCCCGTATTTGAAAGTGGTTAAAGGACTCTTTGTATCAAGAGCCTTATTTCCGCAACTTAACGTTGAAATTATCACTGCATTATTGCGAGGGGATTACTGGTGCATGTACACAGTTTCAAAGCTACAGTATCTAGAGTTTATTATTGACGTCTGCAAGTTGAGTAATTTAACTGTCAGTGATCCATCTGAAACTGAAACTTGCAAAAGTCCTTTAGTTGATACCGATAGTAAGAAGAGCAGATCCCACTCATCTGAATAACGATCACTAATCTGTGATTACCAATTTCTAGATTTATTATCCACGATTCACGATCTGGATTAATTTGTTCACCGAATGGACAATTCTACTTACAAGTAGTTGGTTCGTTTAAATTAATGGGATACTTGGAAAGAATACTTAAATTTAAGGACGGATGAAAATACTTTCAGACTGGCTAAATTTGAGCCAAACTATTGACATAAATTCTCCGCTATGTACAACTTTTTTGTAGAAGTAAAGATTGGCTAAGGAAATTCGACGGCAGATTTTTTAGTGACATCACTCAATGAATCGAGTTCCCGCTCGAAGTAATTAGATTTTGTGGAAATTTTACACAAACAAAATTTATTCTAAACTAATTTTATAATTAATGAATGTAGCCTAATTTGCAAGTATTCAACAATTATAAAGTTTTAAATAATTAGGAGTTAATTATGCTGCTGATATTTATGACTAAAATTTAAATAACAAAGTCATAATAAACCAGCCTTTACTGTGCAGGTGTACGAACATAATGAGAAAAACTGAGAGATGACCCTTATATTTTGGCAATTGCTAAAGTTACCGGTATTTTATTTTCAAATTTTGCAAATATTATAATTATTATTATTGCATTACTGGTCTCAACGTGATCCAAAACACCATATTCAGTTTTCTCCAGTCTATCTAACTATCTAGTATAAGTGTTTAATTATTTTCTTCAATATTTTTGTATTTTTGTCACATTATTTTCTTTTCATATAATTACATCCTTAATATGTTGCTAACTCACACCCTATCAAGTTATTAATCCTATCAGATGTCGCTATTACGAGGAAAATTCAATTAAGACTGACACTAATGTTACTGCGGCCCTGCACACTAAACTTCGAGGGTGTGACAACCTGAGATTATTAGGCAAGTGGTATTCTATACATGAGCAAAATTTCATATGTGTAGGGTTAATTGTTTAGTTGAGGTAGTCAGCTAAACTTTATTATCTACTGTTCGGGTTCCTACTGTTCTCTGTATTGAAAAGGCAACAATATATCTACAAATTTTGTATTTTACTAAGAAAATAGGTACTAAATATTTGTAATAATAAGAAAAAAATCTGTCATGTGCTTCATGTTTACCTTAATGTAAGAAGTTAAAAGGGGTTATGAAAACACGGCATTCTTGTGGCAATTATTCAAAAATATAAAAATCTTGTAACTTTTAAATCCACTCTGGAAAAACAGCTTCTTCCTCTTTTTAATTATCAAGTGGTAGCAACACCGACAGAAGATTTCATACTTTGGAAGGAGCATACTGCACTACTTTCACACAATTCATTCATCAGCTTGTATTCGTAGCAGTCCCACTCTTTTTTGAATCCGCCTCGTATATCATGACCTTGTATTTCTACAAAGACTTAACTACGACGGAAAAAGGCGACAAAACGAAAGCAGAAAATTATAGACCTGTTAACTTTACGTCTATTTGTGCCTAATGTCGGGGGAAGAAACTAAACGACTAGACATTATGATTAGACAGGAACTAAGCAACAGATTTGAATTTCGAAAAATCTTTTGTTTCACATCATCGCTTGACTGTTTAAGTTAGAAAAGGCTGAAGTTCGAGATCTCTTGGTAGGGTGGCTTAAGGTTTTCCTAAGCGATTACTTTATTGTAAG